AACACATATCACTAGGGATATGTGTTTCCCAGGTGGGGGAACACATATGACTAGTGATATGTGTTTCACAGGTTGGGGAACACATATCACTCTGGATTTGTGTTTTCCAGGTGGGGGAACACATATCTCTAGGGATAGGTGTTTCCCACCTGGAAAACATATCCCTAGTAATATGTGTTCCCCCAACTGGTAACACATATCCCTAGGGATATGAGTTCCCCACCTGGGAAACACCTATCCCTAGAGATATGTGTTCCCCCATCTGGAAAACACAAATCCAGAGTGATATGTGTTCCCCAACCTCTGAAACACATATCACTAGTCATAAGTGTTCCCCCACCTGGGAAACACATATCCCTAGTGATATGTGTTCCCCAAACAGGGAAACACATATCCGTAGTGATAAGTGTTCCCCCAGCTAGGAAACATATCCCTAGTGATATGTGTTCCCCCAGCTAGGAAACATATCCCTAGTGATATGTGTTCCCCCACCTGGGAAAAACATATCACTACTCATATGTGTTCCCCCACCTGGGAAACACAAATCCCTAGTGATATGTGTTCCCCCACCTGGGAAACACATATCCTTAGTGATACGTGTTCCCAAACCTGGGAAACACCTATCCGTAGTGATACGTGTTCCCCCACATGGGAAACACATATCCCTAGTGATCAATGTTCCCTTACCAGGGAAACACCTATCCCTAGTGATATGTGTTCCTCCACCTAGGAAACACATATCCCTAGTGATATGTGTTCCCCCAGCTAGAAAACATATCCCTAGTGATATGTGTTCCCCCAACTGGTAACACATATCCCTAGTAATATGTGTTCCCCACCTGGGAAACACCTATCCCTAGAGAAATGTGTTCCCCCACCTGGAAAACACAAATCCAGAGTGATATGTGTTCCCCAACCTGTGAAACACATATCACTAGTCATATGTGTTCCCCCACCTGGGAAACACATATCCCTAGTGATATGTGTTCCCCCACATAGAACACACATATCCCTAGTGATATGTGTTCCCCCACATGGGAAACACATATCCCTAGTGATATGTGTTCCCCCACCTGGGAAAAACATATCACTAGTCATATGTGTTCCCCCACCTGGGAAACACAAATCCCTAGTCATATGTGTTCCCCTACCTGGCAAACACATATCCCTAGTGATATGTGTTCCCCCACCTGGGAAAAACATACCCTTAGTGATACGTGTTCCCAAACCTGGGAAACACATATCCCTAGTGATACGTGTTCCCCCACATGGGAAACACATATCCCTAGTGATCAATGTTCCCTTACCAGGGAAACACCTATCCCTAGTGATATGTGTTCCTCTACCTAGGAAACACATATCCCTAGTGATATGAGTTCCCCTACCTGGGAAACACATATCCCTAGTGATATGTGTTCTCCACCTGGGAAATATATATCCCTAGTAATATGTGCTGCCCTACTTGGGAAAAACATATCCCTGGTGATATGTGTTCCCCCACCTGGGAAACACATGTCACTAGACAGATGTGTTCGCCAAACTATGAAACACACATAATTAGTCATGTCTTCCCCCACCTGGAAAACACAAATCCCTAGTGATCTGTGTTCCCCCACCTGGGAAACACATATCCCTAGTTATAAGTGTTCCCCCACCTGGGAAACACATATCCCTAGTGATATGTGTTCCCCCACATGGGAAACACATATCCCTAGTGATATGTGTTCCTCCACGTGGGAAACACATATCCCTAGTGATATGTGTTCCCCTACCTGGAAAACACATATCCCTAGTGATATGTGTTCCCCCACCTGGGAAACACATATCCCTAGT